ACGCCATTTTCGCACATTTCACAGCAATAAAGGGAGCCGAATGGGGAGGTGCAGGGTGCGGTTGAAATTGTGGACGCTGCGGCTAAGCGAACCGCGTCGCATTGCAGATGAAACCAATTTTTTGAGCGGCAACGACTGTTAGGCGACTCTCTCGACTGGCGTGTGAGCAAATTAATTTTCATCATGTTGAAAAGTAAAAAAAATATGAAACAGAAAAAAGAAATTATGAAGTTACAGAGAGACTAAAAGTTACCCTAGATAAATTTAGAGAAATATTTAATTGTTTGCTTTTGTTAACTCAATTTTACGTTGATCTTTTCTTTGTGTTTTCGATTGTGTATCAAAATGTCTTCGTTTTATGTTTGTTTTAAGTTTGAATCGAAGTTTTTTTTTGAAGTTTGGCAAAAGCATTTCTTATCAAGCTAGCATATATTCAAGGGCCTATCTCTTACATACCCCTGCTATTTCTTTACAGGGTATACTTTCGCCCACACACACACCGGCTCACTTAAGGGCTGCATGGCATAAATGATATGGTGGACAGTAGAAGAACTCTTAGCTGAGGTCCCAGGCCCTGAGGCCCATTTCTCTGTGCCCTTTCTTTCCCTTTCGTTACTTGCTGCGTCTCGCTCAATGAATTATGAATTCGTTTTGTGTGCAGCAAAAGTTTTTTCCAGCCATTGCCAGCAGCCTCTTTCCCTTTTTTTGCTCTTAAGTTGGTTTTTTTTTTTTATTATTTTGCGGCTGGAAAGAATTATGTGCAAAATGTTCTTAGCCATGTTTTGGGCTAGCGCTGCGGTTGTTGTTAGAGAGCTGGCGACAGTGGCGCGCGCAAAATTAATATTTGTACAAGTGGATTTCGGGGCAGCATTCGGTTTTAAGTGCAGAAAAAAAGTTGAGACCTGATGACAAACTGCGCGAACTGCGCTTGGTTTTATTCACAGCCATTTGTCTAGCGGGCTTTCAAGTTGTTCTTTTGCATGTGACAAGAATTTAGTGTACGCAAGTTAAGTGCGATGATAAATTGTGAGAAATAGAGCAGCTAATTTGACAACAATTTGTTTCGACGCTCCGTTTCAATTCATGAATATGCATTTTATGCCAAATTTGTATCAATAGATTGTTCTACCGGCAAATGCAAATTATTCAAAGCCGAAATTGAATGCACTCGTTTATTGGCCAACAAAGGATTTGCATACAAAACGCATTTGCATATAACTTTTTGACAGCCAATCGGATTGTGCTTCTCGCTCTAAGGCTTCTGCTTTCAGCTCTTCAACTAGTTGAGCTAAAACATTTATCATATTACACTGTCAGCTGGAACATGCAAAATATTTTGCGACCCGAGTAGTAGGAGCTGTGCAGCTTTCGTACTTCAAAAAACTATTTTCATTTGCTAGCAATTTGGCCTGCAGCTGACAGCTGCATGCTACATTTTGACAATAGCTTGATAGCTTGCTCTAGCTAACTTAGCTATCTCTCACTCTCTCACTCCTACTCACCTTTTCTCTCTCTTTTCGCTTTCGGTATTTAAAACATTACAATTTGATTATAGGAAATATTCATAGGTTTTCCTGCTTTTGCTGTCATCGATACATTTATCGAAGTTGAAACAATCAGCTTACCAATTTGATGTGATATATATTTATATAGAATATAGATTTCAAATGTATACTGCTTTTACTAGATATCTATATTTCGATTTTATTTCTTATCGATTTCATGAAAACTGAAAAAGATATCGATAAATTATCAAATGAATTTAGTTTAATGATGTATTCATATACATATACATATACATATACATATACATATACATATACATATACATATACATATACATATACATATACATATACATATACATATACATATACCTCGAATCGGCCACACCTAATACGCCTTCATCCATAAAAGCTATGAAAACTAAAAATTCAATTTTCAATGAGTTCAGAGCATAACAATTAGGTAACTTAATAGTTATCATTGAAAAGTCAGCTGGATAATCGAATCTTAATAGGAAAAGTGTGCATATATATAGCTTATTTGCCTAACATTTCCAACAGTATACTTCACTTCAAAAATGGTCAATGGCTTGTCAAGATTTGGCCACTTAGTTTTTAAGTTTGTGCATATAGCTCTCTATATCCCTGCACCGCTCTCTCTCTCTCTCTCTCTCGTCACTCCTGTAGTCCGTGTAGCCAAAAATATATGCACTATTCAAAAACAATTGACAGTTAGACGATATTGCAACGAGCGAGCACTTATAAGCCTTCACAAGCCCTGCTCTGGAAAACGTTTTACCAAATTCATAGACCAACCTGCAGCGAGCCCACTTGGCAAATTGCAATTGCTCAGCTTTTGCCTGGTTTTTGCTTTTCGGGTTATTCTTATGCAAAAGTTGTGTTTTGTGTAGAATGTAACAAGTTTTTGGTTATGAATATGCATCAAGGCCTTTGCTTGTGCTGGCTGTCAAGTGTCCTGCCACAGCAGGACATGCCATAAATGCCCCGCACATGTCCATCAACGTCAACGTCAGCGTCAACGTCGCCCGAACGCCCAAAAACTCCCGACAAACCCATTTTGAAAGTTTAGCATTTGCATTTGTTGTGAGGGTCCAACTGCTGCAGCTGCTACGTTTGGTCATTTGGTTGCATAAGACACACGCGCGTAGCCACACAGCGACAGGATATGCCAGGCGTCCAGGATGCACTTGTGCATTTATCGTTTTGCATACGCATTATTTATGCGAGCCACAGACCAAAAGGCTGCTTGCCATGCAGCATTAAGTAGGCCTGTGTGCCAGGCCTGACCAGCATGTCAAACAACGACCTGTCCCCCCTCTCCCTCTCTCTTTCTCTCTCACTCTGTTCTCTGCTGTCCAAGCAACAGCAGCTGCACAAATTCCAACCAAGCGATTAGCATGCAAAATGTTTTGGCTTTATTGTTTTAGCAAAACTAATTAGTTTGGAACTGTAATTGAAACTCAAAATCTTCCAACAACACCCTTCAATATCTCCTCGTCTCAATTGCTGCTACTGCAACTGCAACAATTTTCATTAGTCTGCCAATACAAAGCGCTGCATGTGTTCATTTAGTTTTGACATTCTGCTCAATGTGCTCAGAATTTTGTGCACAAAATCCATTTGAAATGCACTCAATGCGATTGTGCACCTAAATGAGATATTAATGGTATATATATAGATATATATGTACATATATATCCAAGTCAAAAACAGTTCAGACTGTTCCAAATATTTCGCATAAATTTTTAAATTTAAAGTCTAATGGCATGCAATGTCGTAAGTAGAAATGCATATTTGGCTAAAGGCTAGAATTTGGTATTGTTTCTTGACATAATATCTTTATCATATATCTAGTAGAGGTTTGACGAGCTTGTTATTAATGAATTTGTATGAGTAAAGAGGCCTAAGGCATTTGGTAACAATACCTAATACCAGATTTGTGTTTGTTGGAAATCAGGAATGAAAGGACTTTTCCGCTTTGCCAAGTGTTGTCTGGTTTTTTGGTTAATAATTTAATTTTTGTATATTTTGATTATAAATCACAAGCCATTCAGATATTTCTACTGTCATAAAATTTAAAATAAATCTAAGATTTTACTGAATCAGAAAGACCTCAAGAAATTATTTTTCATCTAAGCTATAGCATGGCTAAAACATGATAATTTTCTATTATATAATGTAAAGTATCCTTGATCTAAAAGTATATTTTGAGCCAGTTAGTGTATGGATTTTGTACAATATTTGTCAAAGCTGTAGATTCGAAATTGTGGGATATTTGCTGGTGTATCTCTGTCATATATTAATTTGGTGGATTGCTGTTGACAATCTTTAAAAATGGATATAAGAAAGCATGTATTAATTCACTATGCGTGAGGTGAAGTATAAGTTGAAATATCATCCCTAGTTCGAACGATTCTATCAAGTCTTTCTGCTCTTAGGAAGTTTATTTCCTGTACTAATAAACATTTCTTAATATCTTCCATTAAAGCGTATCAAATGCGGAATCCTTAAATTTTTGTAATAAATTTAGTTGTGTTGTGTTATGTTATGCAGTCGGTTGCGCCCAACTGAAACTTTTTTATTTGTTAAGTGTTCGCTTCGTAAACTCAGATATCAAATAAGTCTTTATCTTTAAACAATCTCGAATGGCTGTCTCAAAAGACGACAATTTCATATATCAGAGAATGAATTTATAAAATATATTTTTATTTTTAAAATATCCAAAAGCTTTTGTGTATATTTATTATTATTTGAGATATTTTATAGTTATTATTTCATCTTATTTTATCTATCTTGTTATTTTGGGATTGTCTTTTCAATACAAGCTGCCATCTAAAGATGATTGATAAATATTTAAAATAAGTTTCACTTGATATATTTAAAATAAATTTATATATATATATTTTATCTATATATCTATATATATACATATATCCAATTTTTTTTATATATTTGTATCATATTATGTCTAATATATTTGTAATATTTTACTCGCTCTTTTTCAGGCCCGTCTTGCCACAGCAATAAAGAGCAACAGCAACAATAGCAAATAGCTACAAAGCACTGCCATCTAAAACCTGCAATTGCAACAATTACAAATACAAATACAACAACAGCAACAGCAACTAACAATTCAATTGCGCAATATATAAATATATATATATATGTACATATACATATATATATATATATAAAATATTCTAGAAAACCTAGAGAAAGAAGAAAATTTTACAAAGTCAACAGCTGCGAACGCTTGGGAAAATGATATAAAATAATAATTTACAAGACGCTTAAACAAGGAAAAATGCACTAAACAGCAACAGAAATAAAAATAAAAAAAGAAGAAGAAGAAGAAAAGCCGAAGCTGAAGTGGAGAAACTTTAACTCTAAGAGAAAAACCAAACACACACAGAGACTCTTTGGGTTGTAAAGACAAACAAAGAAAGCAAAGTTGGAAAATACGAAGGAAAAACAACAACAACAAGAACAAGAACAAGAACAAGAACAATATAATAATATTGCAAACAATAAAGCATATACTCGCCATATATTGAAAGAAAAGAGGAAAAAAAGAAGTTGAGAAATTTTTGTAAAATTAAGAGTTATTAAGCAGCAGCAGCAAGAAAAAAGAAAACTAAGCCAGAGACAATGTAAGCCAGCAAGAAGGACAAGAAATTGACAGAGCTAACGGAGTAGAGGGACAAAGCGGGAGAGAAAAAGGATTAAAATAAAATATACGCGCCTCGTGAACAGCAAACACCGAAGAGACTATGAAAAATGCGCAACTGAAGCTGAGTGAAGTTGATGATGAAGAGCTGTGGCTGCAACAGCAACAACAGCAACTAGCTTTTAGATTAGCACACAGCGGCAATAGTAACAGCAACAGCAACAGCAACAAACAACTTACTCAACAGCAACTAAAGAGCTTAAGTACAAAACACCACAGCAGCAGCAGCACAACATTAGCAACAACAAAGAAACAGCATGTAGTTATATATAATGCAAGAGCTTCGCAAGAGCAACAGCAACCGCAGCAACAGCAACAGCAACAGCTAGACAGCAACATGTTGTCGGCGGCCAAAGGCGGCAGCAATCAAGCAACATACACAAACATAAGACTGTGCGCACGCAAGCGGCAAAGATTACGTCGGCGGCGAAAAAGAAAACAGCTAACACCAGCAGCAGCAGCAACAACACTTAGCAATAGCAACAGCAACAGCAACAGCAACAGCAATCAAAGCAGCAACAGTGAGAGCAACAGCATAAATTTATTTCATGGCCTGTGGCCAATAAGCGTTGGCATTGCATTGCAACTGTTGCTGCCGGCGTTGAGATTGTGGCAAATGCAGCTGCAGCTGCAACAGCGAGCAGCAATATTGCTAAGAGCGTTTGCTAGCACAACCACCGCCATTATTTCCTATCTACTGCAGCTGCGAAGCAATTGCAAACGTAGCGGCAACAGCAACAGCAGCAGCAGCAACAGCAGCAACAGTTGCAGCGGCACACATCTAATCAACGGACTAAATAAACACTCATGGATATTTTTATTGATATATTTGAATTTATCTGCTAAAGGTAAGTGAAACTCAACAACAATTATTCATTTAACAAAATATCGTAGACAAGTGCAAGCACTTGTGCAGCAACAGCAACAGCAACAAATGTTGTTGCCTCTTTGTTTGTGTTGTTGTCGCAACCACTTGGCAACAACTGTTGCCGCACAAGCTGTCATATTGTTTAGCTGCATGACAACAACAGCAATAACAACACCAACAGCGGCGGCAACTTCATAATGCACGCCGGCAACATATTGTCACTTTGACACATAAAACCACTCAAGGGTGGGCACAATCTCATCTGTTTCTCTCCTCCTTTTTTTATTTATTTTTTGTTCCGTGGGGGCGTTTGTTAGTTGTGACATTTACGACAGCTTCAAGTGAAGCATGCCGCCAACAACAACAGCTAAAAGAGGCCCGACCTCAGTCTCAGAGACAACCTCAGTCGCAGCCGCAGCCGCAGCCGCAGCCTCCGTCGCCTGACTGTCTATGGCACTTGAAAGCGTCTGCGCCTAGGGCTGGTTTTTCTTTTTGCTGCTGCTGTAGTTGTTGTTGTTGTTGTTTTTGCTGCTTGGGAAGTCACATAAAGACAGCGGTTGAGCGGTTGCCACCTGAATGAATTGTGTAGACAGTTTAAAACGCTTAAAAGTATGCTGAGCATAAATATAATCCTTATCCAAATGGAAAGGAAGATGTTGGAAATTTAACAAGGGAAATAGAAAGAATGGAAGAAGTCTCTAAATGAATTGCAAAATTTTTGGAAAATAAATATGTTATATAAAAGTAAATGATGGCAGGAGAAATAAGGCTTAATTAAATGTGGTATAAATGGCTTATGAGAGAGTAACCGACTCTGAGTTGCAGTACCAAAAAGCCTAGACAGGCTATTTGGGTTAGAAATTAGCCTCTCGGATTATTCGTTGGCCACTTCACGAATTCTGTCTCCAGTTATTGTCAACTTGACGTGTCGCTCAATGACATTGGTTCTCATGTACCAAGAAGGATCCTCTTCGTCGGTTTCGATCAATGAATACGCTGCTTATTTAGGTGTGTCTTGGCTGTAATTCCGTGCATCTGGATGGCAAAGTAAAAAATTTTTAGCTTGCAGTCACATGGCTGAACGGACAGACGGACGGGTAGACAGACAAACAAACTAACTGAAGGACGACCAAGACCAGACAGGGCTAGAACAGCGCTAAGTCGACTCAACTAATCGACATGTTCAAGAGTATATTAGCTTTATTGCTGACGCCTTCTTTAGCCACAGCTGATTTTTAACAAGCCCATTATACTCCGAATTCCCATATCCAGTTTCCCAAAACAAAATCAAATATACAAAAGAAATTCCTATAAAACTCTTTATCAGCCACTTAAATGTTATTTTATAGAAGTTTTGCAATTTCACTCTACAAATCTGATATTTTGATTTTCTTATTAGTTATGTACATAAAATAGCAAAGTAATTTAAATGCAAGACAAAATCGTGTTATGTTTGAGTTTATGAAATAGCCACAAAGTAAATCAAATTGAAAATATGCAAATATTGTGCTCTGTTGCTTGTTGCCTGTTTATGTTGCATAGTATTACGTGTGACGCTTAGCTGCAACAATTTAGCATGACACCAAATACTTTTAGCAAATATTTTACCAGGCCAAGAGAAACAGAGGAAGAGAGAGAGAGAGAGGGGGAGTGAGAACCACGCTCCCTTCAGAGATGCCTGTGGCTTTTCTATTTGCATTTTGCGTTGCAAATTTTCGTGTGCAGTTTGGCAAAAATCCTTTTTAATGGGTTTTTTCTATTTTTATTTATTTTTTTTGTGTTAGCAGCTTTCAAATACTTTGCGCTGACAACAATAATTTTAATGTAGGCTAGGGCAATGGTGGCGAAGGCGTTGGCTTGGCTGACAGGCATAGCTGTGCAGCAGCTTATGTGTTGGCTGAGAGAGCAGCTGACGCTGCCTGCCGGCTGCCTGCTGCCTGCTGCCTGCTACTTACATATATTGAGCTTATTAATGGGCACAGTGCGGCTTAGGTGTTGTTGAGCAGCGGCGCAGGGGCATGCAGCAGCGGCAAAGTGTAGCTGTGTGTTGATTTGTGCCCAAGCGGAATAAGTCGTTGGGCTTTGCGTGTCGCGGTTGTTGTGCTATGAAAACACTTATATGATATATGCACCACTTCTGTGTATGCGTGTGTATGCGTGTGTGTGTTTGTAAACGTCTTTGGCTCTGCAGTCGAACTTGCTGTTGTGTCTGTCTGTTTTGGTGCCCAGAGTTCATGTTTCATGCAGCAGTAGCAGCAACTGTCGCTGTCCATGTGCGTGTGTGCATGTTTATGATTTTATGGCAGCACTTCCGTTTCCGTTATGCCATATTGTGCTGCCATATGTGTGTCTCTCTCTCTCTCTCTCTCGCACTCTGCGTCTGTGTGTGCGTGTATGCCCCTTGGCTGCCAACGATAATCAGATTTAAAGTTTGCACAACGTCAACGTCGCTGCATATGCAGAACTGTTTGTGTACTTGTGTTTGTGTGTGTGTGTGTGTGTGTCAGCTGCCCTATGACATCGTTCATACGCCCTGTTGGCCAGCCAAGTGGCACTGTTATGACGTTTATTGCTACGGAAAGCTTTTTGGCATGCTTCAAGACTTCTACAACGATGCGAAACCTCAAGACTTTCAGACTTGCCGACTTTTTCCTCTTTCGCTGGCCATTTGACAGCCAAATAAAAGCGACCAAGTTGATTTTAATAACTTCTATTTGGTTCTTGTTCGTTTTTGTTGCCATTGACTAACGAGCTGCAACAGAAAAGCTAAGTGAAAGACAGGGAGAGAGAGTGTGTCTAAAAGTATAAGCAAATTGTTGGCTTTTAAAAATATATATGTATGTGCAAAGTTTAGAAATGCTTAAGCCTGTCACATGTGTGACATATGAGTGGAAAGGGTTTGACAGCTTTCAGAGGCTTTATAGATTAAAAATCGCGGAGGCAAGTAGAAAATTTTATAATTGAGTTAAGAGTTGCCAGCATAAAGAGAAGAGAGAGCGAAAAAGCATGAAAGCTATTGCATAATGAACCTTTTTTAGATAGTATATAGTCATAGCATAATATATACAAGGAGGAGTAATAGAAGAATAAGTTGTATGGGATGGAAACGTTTTGAGGTGATTTGTTTTTCTAATTTGATTTTGAAGAGACTTTCTACGGCATGAAGATGTAAAATGTTAAGTATTTGATAGAATTTTGTATAGCAATGACTCTCTATTTAGCATTTAATTAACTTTAGTTCCTATAATTTCATTGCCCACAAATTTCCATGGATGCCCTTGCTTAAGTTCCTTAGTGTTTCAAATTTCCTTGCTTAAAGGTTTATATTAATTATGAACTGAAACTTTAAAAGACTTCTGGACGTTGCTTCTTTATTTATTTATTTATTTATTTATTTGTTTATTTATTTACTTATTTTTTTATCTATTTATTTATTTATTTGATTATTTATTTATTTATTTATCTATTTATTTATTTTTTTATTTATTTATTTATTTGTTAATTTATTTATTTATTTATTAAGTAATTTTAATATGTTCAGCAGGCATAGAAAATGTCACTACCAAATGGCAAATCTTATTGAATATTTCCACAGTTAAACATTATCGAAAAAATTAAATAGTTGCTAAAACATAGGCTTACTCTTGTTCATCCTTCAACATATATGCTTGTAAGGTCTGTTTTCTAATAAAACTGTCCTTATCTGCCTTTATCTTATTTTCTTCTGCTGACAGGCAGCACTCTACTGCTCTCTCCTACCTTTGCCTTATATACATCATACCAAATACCTGTGCATATATACACATACAAGTCCTATGTATTTCAGCTGTCATTCAGTTGTTAGCTCTATCAATCTATATGCGCCTACATCTCATCTTCGGCTTCGCTTAAATGTCATATGGTTTTTTCTTTCTCTCCATCATTAGCTAAAGGCTTACACAAGAAAGAAAAACAGAATATCATGCAAGCCTTTAGCATATGCACACTCACTCACATATGTGTGTATAGGCACATCATGCTGCACAAACAACTTACACACGCACACATAGCCACTGCCTCAGTCTCTGCCACAGCTGCCACATACAATGGGAGCGAAACATTTTTTTTCTGCTGAGCTGAAATCAATCATCAAATATGATAGCATTCATAATTTGAATAGTGGACGCAGTCGTTTGATTGATGGGCCAGGCCACGCCCAGGATGTCAGACAGCCTCCACTCAACGCTTAACGGCATTTCTTGCCACGCCTACTGCCACCCACATTCGATTTGTAACCATTTTTTTTGAACTGCCTTTCGACTCAGGTTACGTTTCTAGGAAAACAACCAGCGTAGAAAGAAAAACACAGACAGCTAGTCATAAGCAATTAAATACTCGAGTCTTTTAGCAGCTGTAACCAATTAGTGTGTAGCTGTGTGTGTGCTTGAGGTTATCCTAGGCTAACTGTTGAAATTTTTATTGCATAAATTAAGCTTTGAATGGTTGAGCGTCACCTTGGCGCTATTAAAATGCTCAGCATCCAGTTGGCGCTGCTGCTCTCTGTCTATATTTATATCCTTCTCTCTCTCTCATTCTCTTTCTCCTACTGTTGCGCTCGAACCCATTAGCAGGTGTCGCTGTCCCGCTGTGCTCAGCATTGCTTTTAGCCACATGGCTGCTCAGACAGGCCATCAAGTCTAACGAGTCGCGCACTGTGACCTCTCATCCCTCTCACTCGTTCCATCCTCTATCGCTGCCTCGCATTCCTCTTAACCTTTTGCTCACTCCTTTTGTATCGGTTTTTAGCAGCTTAAGTGGTTTGGCGCCGCGTCAGTTTTCATTTCGCTTTCAATTTTTAATATCGACGGACAGCAGGAGTGCCAAATGGCGGAACTGTTAGCTCTCTCTTTAAGCGTGCCCTTCACAGACAGAGTATATTGACTGTAGAGTGAAATGTGTGCTCACTTTTTGGCAGTCTGTGATCAAATAACACGTATGTAA